TGAGCCGCAGTGCTTCTGCGTGGGCCCGGGGGACCCAGTGGTGGCACTCTCCGGGCCTCCCCCAGCCGCAGCGCTTCTGCGCAGACCCAGGGGCTGGGCTCTCCGGGGCTCCCCCGAGTTGTAGTGCTGCGGCGCGGGCCCAGGGGACCCGGCAGCAGTACTCTCCGGGCATCCCCCAGTCACAGCGCTTCTGCGCGGACCCAGGGGCATGGCTCTCCGGGCGTCCCCTGAGCTGCAGTGCTTCTGCATGGGCCCGGGGGACCTGGTGGTGGCACTCTCCGGGCCTCCCCCAGCCGCAGCGCTTCTGCGCAGACCCGTGGGCAGGGCTCTCCGGGCCTCCCCCGAGTCGCAGTGCTTCTGCGCGGGCCCAGGGAACTCAGCAGTGGTGCTCTCCAGGCATCCCCCGGCCGCAGCGCTTTCAGCGCTGGGGAGCTGGGGGAGGGGCTTGCCACCACCACCACCATTTGTGCGGGCTCCTGGGCTGCCAGAGCTGTGCTCCGGCGCGCTCCGGCCCCAAAAGACCCCTGATGATCTGCAAGTTTTTTATGACCATTTGGATATACTGCATGAAGATATGTCTGAACAATTTGAGGACCTTCTTTCAATGGAAATTCCAGATTGGCTGCTAAATCCATTTTCAGGCACTGAGGAATTTAGGGTATTGGAAGAAGAACTAATTGAGCTAGAAAATGACATTGAGCGGAAGCCAAAGTTTAACAAATTGCACCAAGAGTTTTGATTGCAGAAGGAAATCTCTGATCGCTGTCTTGCACTACGGACAGTGGCTAAGAAGCTCCTTGCTGTGTTCCAACATCATATTTGGTAGAAGGTGGTTTTAGTGTGGTCATCCAATTTGTCTCCAAGCAACAAAATTGCCTCCAGATTACTAAATGTGGTAATTTTAAAACTCCTGCTAAGTGGCTTTAAACCAGACATGGAAAACTGGTATCATTTGATCAAGCTTGCCATCGCATTAAGAATTTACTGAACAGTGGAGTAGTTACTAAATGTGGTATCTAAAATCCTTGCTAAATGACTACCAGACTTTGAAAAGCTAGTGTCACTGGATCAAGTTCATCAATTTTATTGAATAAATTAAACTAAGGAGTTTTAATTGGATTTTGAATAAATGTGCAATTAATTGTTTCTGTTTTGAATTTTATTGTTACGATCTTCCTTAGTGGGTCATGCAAACTGCTGTTCTGAATAATGCTTTTTTAAGGGCAGGGTATGGGACACTGGGGATGAGTTTATGGGACCGAGGGATGGTGGCCCGAAAAAGTTTGGGAGCCACTGATCTAGAGCCTTGATCCCCATTTGCCCGTGGAAAAAGGCCTGCCATATGTTTATTCAGCAGTGTCCCATTTAGTGCATTTCCCACTTCTCTCTGCAATTTTGCTTCTCTGTTTTACTGTCCAATTAATTACTGCAATCTCTCCACTATGAGTCACTGTTAGGTAAGACCAGCACACTTGCAAAAATGCCGTTTAAACTTTTTGTTCCAGTTTGTGTCCACGTGCTTTTGGATATTATATTTTTATGACCGGCAGCTGATTTATCCCAAGAGGATGGATGCACTCATTCCTAACTGGCTGAATCATGCTATGGTGAGTAGAATACTTTGCAATAAATGTTCCATGCAAGCATGATTTTTGCAAAACGAGGAGAACGCTACCCAGTCAGTTACAGTCCCACAGATTTCAATGGGAGTATGAACCTTCCAGCTGAACTTGACACGAAGTTGGCTTAACTTTGGCTGGATCATGCCCAGCCGTCGCAAATCTCTTTGCTTGTTACCTCTTTAAGCATTCATAGAACGGTTTGCAGAGACTGAGCTGTGAGAATTGCCCAGAGAAGCCTTAGAGGACACAGGGAAATGTCAGTGAATCATTGCTAGCCAAGTTTAAGTCAGTGGAAAGATGTGAAGTCATTAAATGGGGAGGTGGAGAGAAACTTTCTAGGTTACTGCAGTGCAGACAAAAAGAATGGAAACTTCTGTTGCTGTAAACAGAACGTTACATAATACAGAAGGGTCTGGGGATGCAAACGGATGTGTAACCTCTTTTTGGAATTGGTAGAAGCAGCCAACGAGGTGTCGAAGCAGGTTGACTGATGAGCGAATGTGTGCCAAGGCATCAAAGGGGAGAGTATTGGAGGATTGCTTACATGTTTCTACACTTGTCCTGCATTTGAAATTTCGTTTCGAATTGCCTTCATTTAAAACAAAAATGGGACGTGTCGAAGGCACAGGTGCCTCCAGCCCTGCAGAAACTGTGGGTGTGTATTAAGTTAATGACACATCCAGTGGGGGATAGGTGGGAAGACAAGTTCAGGGCGAGACTGAGTCAGAAGAGCCCGGAATGAGTGAAATGATCTTACCTCTCAGCCAATGTTCCCTCTAAGCTGTGGAGTCTTGTGAGCAAGAATTCTTCTTTGTGAGCTACTGGCATTAAAGTTGTGAGCGAGCGATTTGGCCACTGCATAAATCAGTCTGCTCTGGAGCCATCCTGCCTGAGCTAAGACAAAAACGTGTGAGCCGGAGGCTAAAAAACTGTGAGCTAGCTCACGCTAACTCAGCTTAGAGGGAACACTGCTCACAGCCTAGATTCTCTCACCATTCTGTGTACATCATAACATTATACTACTGGCTCCATTACTGGGCTGTGCTACAAAAATATCCTCTGTGCCACGAGAATTCCCACGAAGAAAAAAACCATTTGGCAGCTCTGTCACTGTGCTTTCTGTCACGTTTTTGTCTTGCACTCTGTGAGGCTCAGGGAAGCATGTATATGGTCTTTCTTTCATCTTCACAACAACTTTGTGGAGTAGCTTAGACCATGAGAGTGTGACTGACCCAGGGTCATCCAGAGAGCCTCCGTGGCAGAGTAGAGATTCAGACTTGGGTCTTTTCAGTCCTAACCTGACACTCCGTTCATTATACCTCAGTGGCTAAAACGTATAATAGACAAAAACTGGGACATGCTTAGAGCACTCTTCAGTCTACACGTTATACTTAACACATGGGAACTTACAGCCATACCGCAGCCGTGAGTTCCCTGTGGGAACTCAGTTCTGAAGCTTCTCAGTGGCCTGATTCAGATTAGGAATGTGGCACAGTGCAGGGAGAGATCCAGCCTTCCCCCATGCCATTTTCCCAACCTGAAATGACTTGTGGGGTCATTATTTGCCCTGTAGGCAGTCCCCAGGGTTGTTTTGGGTCTGAAAAATAGTGCAAAGTTAAGAATATAAGAGAAACTATGTTGGGTCAGGCCAATGGCCCATCCAGTCCAACACTCTGTGTCACACAATGGCCAAAACCCAGGTGCCATCAGGAGCTCTACCAGCAGGGCCAGAACTCCAGAAGCCCTCCCACTGTTGCCCCCCCCCCAAGCACCAAGAATACAGAGGCATACACTATGCCCCAGACATAACGTCCCTTCTATACATTGGGGCTAATAGCCACTGATGGACCTCTGGGTTGGGGGAGGCTGGAGCCCCTTCTCCCTATAGTCCCAATCCGAGTCGGGCTGCTGTGGTGCTTGAGAATAGCGTTACCATGGCGATCATGTGGTAGAACTGATGTGTGAGCTTGGGCCTTAGAAGGGTTGTGACTCTGAAAAGGATGCTACTGTAAGCCTTTTATGCTAACAGGAACACATTTTTCAGAATGATGAGAGGTTCGCTCAAAAGGCAACACGCTCCACAACCTACACCCTGAGCATAACGATGGATTCCTTCCGTTCTCGTTTGTTCTTTCCATGTTTTTAAAATCAGAATTTTCTAAGTCATTAAAAGTTCACTGACGTGAACAAATGTGAGAAAGGTCTAAAAACGCCTTAGAATCATCATGCTGAAAAAGGGGAGAGAGAGCGGAGTTGTGAAGACCTAGGCACACCACATTGTGCCACCTTGTGAGTTTACTTGATGAATTCCCCTTTGTGGACTTCCACTCTGTCTCAGGAATTCCAGTATACCAGCTCTTTGCCACACTTCATAGAATAACTGGAGTATGTTTATCAAGAGACAAAAGAGGAAAGTACAAAACCTGTGAATTCACTCTGCCTCTGGTAGCTCTCCTGAAAGGTAGCTTCAGCACCACTACAAGTTCTTCCCTGCAGTGTATAGCTGGTACAACCTGCTGGTTGTGCTTTTGGGCCTACTAGCGATGTTCAGGGTCTCCCTGGCCACCGGCAGGGTATGGGAGCCTACCGTTGCCAGATCCAGGTTGGTAAATTCCTGGAAATTTGGAGGTGGAGCCTGGTGAGGACAGGGACCCCAGTGGGGTTCAGTGTCATAGAGTCCACCCTTCAAAAGCATCCATCGTCCCCAGAGGAACTGATTTCGTAGTCTGGAGATGAGCTATCATTCTGGGGAATCCCCTGGTCCTACCTGGAGGCTGGCATCCCTCAGGCCTACTCTTCATTCATACAGAGTGATGGTGAAGAATGTGAACT